AAGATACTTGGCTCCACCGTCCAAGACAGAACTGTCCCTCAGAGCTGATTATGTCCAACAAAAGTGTCCAAAAGAGTTACTGTTTCTTCCTGTGGTCTCCACCAGTGTGTTGGGTGGAGCATCTCCTGATACTCTGACTCTAGGGAGGAAACGTAGGCTTTTCCTTCCTGTGCACTCAGAACCAGGAACAGCCGACCTACCCTATGATTCCTTTCATGGAAGTCGTGGAGATGAAGGTTGAAGAATGTTTTAGGTTCAGCTTAAACTTAAGATAAAGGACGGCAGTGTTTACTTGTAATGGTATGTTCGTCTGGCCTTGTGATTGGTCAAATAAATCCTTTATGTTTGCTCTTATCTTGTCAATAGACGTCACACTGACTTATAGGATATTGTCTTAGGAATTTCAGCAATTTGTTGGTGTTTAGTTTCCATTTTAATGTTAATTTTCTTAAAGGTGGTTTTAGAGGTGTTAATTGTGTAGTTACAGGGCTTGGCACTTTCTTTCTTTTTTCTAATTTGACAAATTTAAGAGTACAAAAAGAACTTAAGGGCACAATGAAAATGTATTAAATAATTGTTTTTTCCTTATGTATAAGCAAAGCACTTGAATTCATTTGTAGTCTTTAATACTTCTAGCTGCACATTCAAACATGAGAAAATATGCTTTCTTACAACCAACTAAAACATATTACAGTACAAACACCATAAGGTAAACATTGTCATGATTCATCATTAGCATTAGCTTGGCAGAAATGTGCAGTATTCACTGATGGGGAACGGCTCTGAAACTGAACGTGCAACAGCGCCACATTTTCACTTTGAACGTGCAGCATTCATATTTATTTAAGTTATTTCATTATTTTGACGTTTTCAAGTAATTGAAGTTTAATAATCCCATTAAACCGTATTGTGATTTAAGACCAAATTTAAGACATCTTAAAAAGTTAATTAATACTTTAGTTATACCATTAAAGATATTTAAGACTTTAATGACCATTCGATTTTTTTTATCGCTCATTGTTCAACAAGAAGGAATTGTCTTTCTCCTCCGCCCCTTCTGCCTTTCCTTATCTCTGGGTGTTCGTGCCTGTGGCCGTGGAAGAGATAAGAAGAGATTTTTGCCTTTGTCTTCTGGGACTGGGAGTTTGCCTTTCTTGCTTCGTGGGAAGTTTTTGGAGATTTCTGAAGATGCTAATCAAACATTGTATCTGTGTGAAATGTCCTTCAGATAAAGCTGTTTTTCCAAAAAACTGCCTGTTTAGCCTTGATGGGCTACTGTGAGATTGGTGCATTGTGGGTCCCACAACAAGGCTAGAAGGTTATTGATGTTTTTGTAAGAGCAAATATGGAAAGAAATGTAACAGATTGGACCAGAACAAATGACTCCTGTTACTGACAAGGCCATTTATGTTACGCCTACACACATTTGCCTTATCAGCTCCCACAGTCTGGTGTCTTGAAGAATCAGATCCACTGAATGACAAGTATGATCGTCCATGATAAAGAATTATTTTCAAAATCTACTTTAAAGTTCTTAGAAACTAACTCGTACTCTACTGTTCAGAAGTTTAGGGTCAGTAAGTTCTAATTTAAATAAATGCTGTTCTTTTGAACTTTCCGTTCACCAAATAATCCTGAAGAAATGTGTAATGGTTTTCACAAAAATATTAAGGATTTATACTAAGGATAATACAGATTTTGTTTCTACTGTCCTGGGTGGGCCGGTGGTTCTAATTTGTACTTGCCCTGCCAAAATTTTCACCACAAAAAAAGTAATAAATAAATAAAATAGGCTTGGTAATTGTCTTCATTGTTTTTGACCCATATCCTTAATAAATAAGGTTGTGACACTAAAAACTACTAGCCTAACTCATTTAAATTTCAAGTATTGTTTAAGACAAGTAAACTGTCATTAATAAAATAAGAACAAACAATCAAATTACGAGCAATAGCACAAATACAATAGAACAAACATACATATAAAATAAACACTGTTAAACTTCATGTTTTTCAGGTAAGTCTAACAGTAATTTCAGGTAGAGAAAATAAATAATAAATTGTAAAATAGCACTGCAGCAGCAAGTTTATTAGGCTGCTGTCTCTTTAAGAGCTGCACGGATTTAATATAATGTTCCACATGCGTTTTATGTCTTAACTGTTTATGTTTACTTAATATATAACAGAATATCTTTACTAGGATACTCACCGAGGCGGCATTGTTTGACGTCATTTTGTGTGAATATGTCCATTCAAGCGCAAGAAGACGTGAAGGAGCTCAATTCAGCATTCGACACAATGTTCGAGAAGCAGCTTTCTGGGCAAGCACTTCGGATGTGTGCGCAAACAGAACAGAACAGAATATTAAATTGAGTTCTCTTTTGCGTCGTCTTGCGCTTGAATATATAAATTGGCAAGGATTAAAACGTGCGAATGATTAAGTTTAATGATGCAGCTCTGGCCTGATCAAGAAGGTGACATGTGTCAACAAATAAGTAAGGTATAATGTACATCCAGCCGTTTGTTATCTCAGAATAAACACTGTCAGGGTGATCAGGACCCCGACACGAAGGTGAGGACAATAAATAAAGATTTGACATTTATTGTGATAATTATCGATATCAACTGATGATTTCTTTCTTTTTTTGCCTATATCTCCCGGGCCTATGTGCATCACAGGAATTAATAACATTTTGAAATATATTCAAATAGAAAACAGATGTTTTAATTTGTAATAATATTTCACAATATTATTCATTTTACTGTATTTTTTCTTAAATAAATGAAGCCTTGGTGAGCATTAGGGACTTCTTTCAAACGCTTAAAAAAATCTTACTGACTCCAAAGTTTGGAATGGTAAAATGACTCTGTATAAAAAAGGAGTTTTTACAAATATAATGTATGCTGTAAGGTTTGGGGGGTGCACACCACATTTTGCAACCTGAGTTAAAACCTGTTACTTACAAGATCATTTTAAGAAGTTTATTTACCTTGCCCCTCTTTCTGTTTCTTCATTATGATATAACGACAGTTTTATAGTCTTGACTTCAGGCCTTCGAAAATATTACAATTAATTTTAATTTAGATATTTGTATGTTTAATGTATTTTTGAATTCATTTAAATGGCACAGTCACTGTTATCATGGCAACTTTTGCATGGGCAAGCACCACTGACATTTTCTTCAAACCGTAGATATTCCCTAGTCCTGTCCCTAGTATCTGCCCTACTTATGTACATTTCAGTTAGCCAGATGTGCACTATGAGATTTACAGACGCATCAAAGGTAAAATTCAATCAACAGAACAGCCATAAAGCAGAACAACAACAGATTCTGATAACAGTACCGTACATCCAGACTGGAAATGGGCCAAATGTTCTGTTTAAGAGATATGAGATTACAACCTGCCTTTATGGCACTTGCAATCCTTTTTAAGTTGTCTGTGGAGAATGTTGGATCCTATTTGCACATCTTGTTCAGCACCATTAAAATGAAGTCTGAATCTTATGACATGTGGACAGGGTTTAAAAAGTTAAGCTTTGAGTTGGTTTTCAGTGAGCTCCCTGAACTACTGTATAGGCTAGATGGAGACGCATTTATTTTCAACCCTTCCAGAATGTGTGAATTAATTCTATGGTTCTTAAAGCAAGACTCTGGGAAGTGCATCTCTAGTGTAACAATGTCCATTGCTCTTGCCAAACCCTTGCTAAAAATAGCATAACTTTTGACTTGAGATCAGCTCTGTTACATTTTTCAGTGGAACATCTGTAAAACAATATTATTGCATGCCTTCACCACATAATTTACAATGGAGAATGCAGAGCTGTACAGTAGTCTCCATGTGTAAATGTATTTTAGTGTATGTTCATGTATTTAATACAGACAGAGGGTGCGTCTCAATTAGCTCCCTAGCTTGCTAACTCGTGAATAGTATATCGTGTACACAAATTCGGGCACTGGTAAGGACAGTAACTTTTTAAAAGTACAAACAAACTTTCATTATCGAAATCCCTCCTCACTCCAGGTGTTTGGTAATGTTTTATCTGCATGTGTGTCAGGTTTTGAACTGAAGGCCTTGCATGAGTGATAGTTTACCTCAGTGAGATCATGGTTTACCACAGAGGTAGGCCAATTCGAGAACTGAAAAAATACCACATTTAAAAACTGAGAGTTTCGGTTCCGTGCGGTCGCTTTTAAGGCAGATTTTGTTATTCTGTTAGTTTCACAACAGTTTTCGAGTTGTTTAAAATCTTTTTAGGCTAGCATGCGTGATAAAGGTGAAAGTTTATATATTTTTTCCAATACCATTTATTTTTATGTTGAATTGTCTGATATATAGAGAGATCCCATATAAAGGATCAAAATACGAGAAAATGTCTTTTTCAGCTTTGGACGGAATACTAAATGCGTTTAAATTACCATATACAAACATATTATTATTATTATTATTATTTTATTATATTAATATTATTAATGTTATAACAATATTCATGAAATTATGTCTAGTTGTTGTGCAATCTCAATTGAAACTATAACTAACTGCTATTTGTTTTTAGGATTAAGTGGTTCTCATCCTTTTTTACCCAATGCTACAGTATTGTCTAGATAAGCTGCTGCTTTGTAAAGTGGTCTGTTGCGGTGGTATCTTTCATTTCACATTGGGTTTGTTCGCTAACTACCTCAGCAAACTCGAATGAAACTTTGATAAAAAAACTTTGTCAAATCCAGTGATTTACTTTGCTTACTAAAGCATGCCGGTACCTTGTAAATGTGACTGTTTTCCTCAGAATGATTTAAAACGTGTGCAATCTTCCAGAAGTTACATAGAAACCTGGCAGTCAGATTGGAATGAATGCTTTTAGCCAGTTATTTTTGTTTGCAGCATACTGTATATCAGATGGTTCGTGGGTGTGCTCTCTAAGGCTGAGACTGTGTATAGGTTGAAGCGATTGCTGTTTTTTGTGAAAATGTGTATTAAAAAGTTTTTCTGACTTTGACCTGCAGGCACAGGATAAGAGGAAAGCCTTGGAGGAGACCAAAGCCTACACCACCCAGTCCTTGGCGAGCGTGGCCTATCAGATCAATGCCTTAGCCAACAATGTCCTGCAGTTGTTGGATATCCAGGCCTCGCAGCTGCGCAGGATGGAGTCCTCCATTAACCACATATCTCAGGTCAGAAACGTTCTTTTTTATCTCTCAATCTCATTTCCCTTGCTTTGTCCTTGTCTGTCTAGAGTTTTCATTAAGCATTTGTCTGTCTCTCACAGTGACTGACTAATTAATATCTGTTTTCTGTGTACCTCTTTTGCCCCCCGTTTCGGTTTCTTCTTCTTGAATGCGTCTCTATGCAGTCATCATGGAGACGTAAAACTCTCCCACAGAGTCCTTGTGTAAACCTCATCCCACTTCCATATGGTGCTGTTAGTTGCTGTAGTCATGACACCCACTAGTTTCTGCTTCCAATTAAAAAAAAACTCTGCAACCTATGGCCATAAGACAGCCATGTTGATATTTAGAACAAAGTAGTCTTCCTTATATGATATTGTTATACCGTCATATAAGATTTTCATCATACAGCCAATCCATACTTAGCAATGTGGATATCATTGTTATAACTTTCTCTTTATGAGAAGTGTGTTTATTCAGATCATTGCATTATATATTATTTTGAATGGTTTGAATGATCAAGGTTACCGGTAGTTTATCTGAGCAGCAAGTAACTGCAGTTACATTCATCAGGAGTGGAGAATCACACTGATTCATCATTAACTTCGCCTTAGGACTTTATCTCTGTTCCAAAACATAGTGAACTGCATTATGATCTTGTATGGTCCTAACAGTTATATAATCTCAAAAGTGACTTATTTAGAATGCTCTTCATAGATAGCAACTTGACTTACTATTAATTTCAGTAGAGTCTGAAGTTAGCATGTTGCTAAGCTAACGGCTTGCTGCTGTAATAAATATAAACGTACATAAAACACTCAAATCGGGTAAAATAGTCCATGTTTTAATATTTCTTTTTCTGCTGAATGACTAAATGTTTAGTCTTTTCACTGAGCCCATTACAATGCTTTCTGGCATTGAATTGAATACATATTCTGCTGACTGTTTGCAGCAGCTTTGGTGCTGTTTAAGAAGGCAGCTCACTAGGCTTTTGAAAAGAGCTTATCAAAGAATAAATCGATTTTTTTCCTCATCACTCAAAACTGTGGGAAGGTTCAGCTTCCTATGACAGTGTCAACAAGACCTTCAACCATCTGAAGATTCTTAAAATTCGATCTCTTATTTGACAAACACCCATTCTGTTTTTCTCACCCTCATAGCACAAACACTGCCCACAGTGAAGTGCTAAAACCAGAATTATTAGACTGATATAATCTGCCAGTCACATTAGAACTTTAATCTGCAGATGTTGTTGGGTTTAATTGGCGTACAGTGGAGTATTCTCAGGTCTCGTCTCCATTCATATGCGTGTCTGGGAATCACAGTGGGCTTTATGAATGGCTGTAAGACCGGCTTATTTAGATGGTCAACAGAGGCCTGTTCTCACGTCCAGCTCTTCACACACACCCTCCACTTACAGTGTCAATCATGATTCTCTCCAAAGATGGAGATGAGTATAATAGGACAGTTATGTTGGAAACAGGGTGCTGTCTGTGAGCAAGCTTTCTGTTGTAGCATGTTGTACTAAAGGTGGGGGAAAACTTAGTCAGTGATGCATCACGATTCTGAATCGCTCACAGATAGAAGGGTATTCTTTGCTTGCTGCAGATCCCAGATACAAAAAAACTCAAGTATCTCTAAACTTTTACAAAGTTTGGAAATAGCATGATGAATTTCTAAAGCAATCAGGGTTTTTGTGCCATTATGTGCCATTGTCCATAACTACTGCACACTACATCAACTGGCAGCTCATGTGCAGCTCAAAACCTGTCAACATCATAGTTCAGTAGTGTCAAATCCTGTTCCTGGAGAGCCACCTTCAGAGTTTAATTAAACACACCTGAACCCGCTAATCTAGGTCTTCAGGATCACTAGAAACTTCCAGGCAGGTGTGTTGGAGCTAAACTCTGCAGGACAGTGGCGCTCCAGGAGCAGAATTGGACACCCCTGTCATAGAGACCCAATTTCAGTCAGAACTCAGTGCAGTCCCTGCATTTTGCATTTGACTGAAAGGAATTGAATTGTGTGTAGTGTTTAAAGATAATCACTCCTATATTTTAGACAAACTGACATTGGTCATTCCACTCTGGAAACTGTAGTAGTTCCAAAAACAAACCGTAACCCTGTAGCCTCAGTGCTGATTTCCACAGATCAGTCATGACGGCGCTGTTCTACTGGAAGGTGACTAATGGCTATAAAGTGGCTCTAATCTCTCAGCTGAGGCACACCTAGAGCTTTGCTGACAGAGGATGTTCCCGTCTTTACAGCATTTTTCACTCTTTCCTCTTCCTCTGGCTGCCGATTAGACAGACCGCACTGCCAGCATGTGGCCAAATTAAATTAGAACATCAGTGCACCAGACTAATGGGCCAGCATGCGAGGTCTGGAGTTCATTGTTTTCATCGCAGCTCTACACTGAATCTTCTGAGTTGTGTTATTACGAATCTGTCTTGTTGGAGCCGGCACTGACCCTGAGCGTGGGAGGCTGAAGTGCTGCTACCTAGACCAGTGCATGAAGTGGCTGCTAAGAGACTGTGAACAGTCCGCGCTTTGTCTGGCCAGCTAAAGAGTTGGCAACACACTAGGAGTCTCGTTTTGCTTTTTTCCCTCTTCATAGCTGCAAGTAAATCTGTGTTCGTCTGTTGCATCTGAGGAACTACAGAGATGACTAATTAAAGGCAGCTCTGAGTGAAGTTCTGAAGCAGCATGCTTAGAAATGGTTTCATGGTTACCCCATCAGATCTCCTATTAACTCATTTCAGAGAGGCTAACAAAGCAAGCTAGCTTTGAAAGCATGAGATTCCACCCTCCCTTCAGAGCATTTTAAATCCACACCTCATTCAAAACGTCTCAAAGCGCATAACATTTCAATAATAATGAACGTAAACAACTTGCAGATCTCGGATTTGTACCACCTGACTGCTGCAGATTAATTTGGGCATTGATAGTGTTGAGATGGAAACGCATAAATTTGAGTCTGAGGACGTGAACAGCTCCTGATAGAATGTCACTGGTTCTCATCTCGTAATTATAGTTACGATGGCGTGAACGCAGCATAAGCTCATTGTTTTGGTTCATGGACCTGTAAAAAAAGCGACTGCTGTTTGTTTGTGTCATGCTGTGTTCCTGACCATCTTAATTGAGTCCAAGTCCAAACATCAAGAGTAGGTTAATTCAGAGTCAAGACTGAGAACAGAAGATGGAGTCCAAGTTAAGACATAGACCTAAGGAGGGTATGAATGATTCAGACAGAGTAAATATGCTTTCCTTTGGGGTGAATGAAGCCTGGTTTTGAATTAAAGTCATGTAAACCTCTGCAGGACTTATCATCTCCCGTTTTTCATTAAAGTTGGGTTTGATTGATCCATCCCTTTACAAGACTAATGGTGCGTTCACACCGGACGCGAATAGCGCGTCAGGCGCAAGCGATTTCAATGTTAAGTCAATGCAAAGACGCGTTACGCGTGTAAAAAAATTCCTGCGGCGCGAATGAGGCGTAGAGCGCGGCGCGGTAGACGATTTGAAGACGAGCTGAATGATTTAGTTAGTGCTATTTGTGCATTCACGCGTTTGATGCGAATTCGCGTCTGCCGCCCGAGTTGAAAAATTTGAACTTCTGCGTCAATTCGCGCCGCGTTAACCAATCAGGAGCCTGCTTGCTGCTGTCACGTGGTGAAGTGAAAGTTTGTTATTTTAATAAATTCTTTTGTAATATTACTAAAATGTCTGGTGTGGTTCTAATGCACAACAAAGCAAATCTTTCACATAAAAACTTGATTTTAATATATGAGAGAGAGTACTCATTTTGTATTGAATGCTATTTATTCCATATCTATTTTAGATTATATGAAACATTATTACTTTAATGTAAAAACAACAAACACTTAGTGTATAATAAATAAAAAAAATCACAGGACAGGTTTCACTTTTGGAGGCTGGCTCCATTTATTATCAAATAAATGTGCGGGCGAGGGTGAACCTCGCGCCGGGCTGTAGAGTGCGGGCTCGTCAGGCAGCGACCACTCGAGGCCGAGGCTTTACACGGCCTACACTGTCCACGTCAGCGTCCTCACCGTTAGGTCCACCAAACCTAGCTCCTGGAACAAATGGTGAAACTCCTGAAACCCTCCGGAGGGTCTGGTGGATCCGAGTACAGCGATGATGTACCCTACGCAGCTGTTTCTGCTCTCCAGAGCAAATACGAGCAGTGACTCTCTCGATTAATGCTAATGCTCGATAAACATCTAAAAAAAAGATGGCCGCCTCCGGATTTCGCTTCTGACGCGCGTAAATTTCGCTTCAAACTTTTGTTTTTACGCGTGTCAGTTTCGCTCTTGACGCACGAATTAACACAAAGTGGTCAAGCGTCAAACTAGACGCGGTAGGCGCGAATTTGACGCGCTATTCGCGTCCGGTGTGAACGTGTTAAGCCTAGTTCACACTACATGATTTTAAAACGTCGGGCTGAACTGTCCGGTTCACACTACATGACTTGCTCTCTGTGAAATCAGGAGTGTTCAAGTTGTTGAGCTGTTCACACCACACGACACAACGTGATTGATCCGCAACAGGAGGTAACGCACTACACGAGTTGACAACAACTCTGTCACCCAACGATTCTATCTTGTCTACAAACCACGTTTTGTCACAAAAAAATCACGCGATAAAACGGACCGGAAATGACGCGAAACAGCACGCGCGCTAATACCCAGCGAAGAAGACGAAGACCCATGCCTTGCTCTGATTGGCTGTAGCTCATGACATCACTGAGGTTGAGTCGGGCGACAGCTCTGGATATCTAGCATGCTAGATATTTTTCTGGGCTCGGCGACGCGTCTGCGAGGCGTCAGCGAGCGTCTTTGATGCGTTGTTGGCTCTTTCATACTAACAGATTGGCGAGCGTCCATCGTCCGCTAATCCCCCGCGATTTGCACGCGATAACACCCTGACCTGTCGGTGAGCTCAACGATTTGCAAATCGGGCTTAAATCGGGTTTATAATCCTGT